AGGAATGCATAACACGGAAACAGTACCAAGACCATAAAGGTCTCTGTAAGGATAAAACGTGCTTTTAATAAAGTAGCAGAGAGAGGCATGACTGTGGAAGACATGCTTCACACTTCATCTCCTCACTTGGGACAACACTACTTAATATAATAAATCATTTTGACTTGGCAGAACGCAGAGAAGTGAATCCTGCTTCGAGTATACTTAGACTGACAGACTTCTTACAATATAATCCTAGAACTGAGCATCAGTATATCAACAAGGTGATCTAACCAAATTGAAACTATTTCAGTTGGCTTCTCAGAGTCTGAAAAATACTTAAATAAAGTTGTAGTCACTTTTCACTGCATTGAAAAAAAAAAAAAAAACACAAAGAATACCACTGTTCCCAGAGCATTCAAACAACACAGAACAATGTCTCATCCTTGCCTGTTGAATACTCACTATATTCGACAAAAATTAGGCATAGCGTCTGTGAGCTGTGATGATTTGGAACACCAGATTTCTTGAGCAGAGCTTAAGTACTGCTAAGTCAAGCTTATTTGGGGGCTGGGAGAAGCTAGGCAACAAGAGAGTCAAAAAGCCCTACCATAAAAACCACGTTTATTAGATCTAAATGCAAGTGGTTACTAACCTTCCCTCAAGGCTAGAAATAAAATAAAGAAGTTGTTTACTATTTTTAGTGTTCAGAACTACTGTAGTTAAAATACCATATAAGAAATATCATACAGCATAATTCTTATGACAAAGAGCAGCAAAGAATTTCCTCGATGTATAAGCCAGTAATCCAAAATCACTTCAGAAAGTATCTTCATAGAAGATTTCTTTGACATACATTCTGTTTTCTTCCTACATTTCATTTCCCCTAGCTTATGCTCCACATACTATAGTGGATACTTTTTGCTTGCTCTCATTTCTCACAAAAACCTAAGCTGTTAAATTTAACCTCTGCATCTCCCTGCAATTCCCATCTCCCCAGGCCAGACAAGATATTCCATGTTTCTATTCAGTCTTTTCCTGCTTTCGATAACTGTTTTTTCCTGAACGCCTTCATTTTATCACCAGCGTATTTTTGGTAACACAGTGCTCTGAACTGACCCAGTATTCCTTATGTATCTACAGGAATGCTTTTCTTCTTCAGGGAGGACTATGACCTCCTTATGGTGCTGCCCGTGTAAGTGTACTGGACTTGAAACAGTCAGCTGAAACTGAATCAGCCCCTACACTCTCTTCCACTGAACAGAGTTCTGGATTATTTCTCCTAATGTGTGCTAGCTTGTAGTACCCAAACAGATATTATTCTCACTGCAAAATACCATGATTATACATTTATATTTATTAATCTTCTAGGATCCACTGCTGCATATGTTCCATATTAAGATGCAGCTGTTGTTCATTCTGATGCACTTACTGTTATCTCCTTCATGCATAACAACTTGGAAGACAGCTTTTGTGATGGACAAAATCCAACATCTGAAATACCAGTGTAACAGCTTAGTCAACAATTTAGTATTCATTTGACTCAAGAACGCAATGATGCTTGATGCATAAATACACCCAAAAAGTCAACAAGACTGAGTATTTGGCTAAAGAAACACTAAATTCAGTACATTCCCCTTACCTATGTAATATCAGAACAGCTACTGACCTGGGGAGTGCTGGGACGTTGCGAGAGAGGTCATGGAATTGGAAAGGTTAAGGTTAGCAGTAATGCTAAGCTGGCTCTGCACTGCAGGAGGATACGGAGATGTGGGTGTCAGGAGAGATTCTTCACTGGTTTCCTCATCAATTCCAGGCAAATACGTGTCAATCAAGGCATCAAGAAACTTTACTATGAGCTCAGCATAGTCTGGGATCTGTGTTTGCTGTGGGTAGGAGGAGAAAAAAAGATTGGTTCTTTTCTTTCTACTTTTCTGTCATTATGAGCTTTGTCCCAGAATTATTCTAATATAAACTGGTTTTGCCTGTAAACTTTGAAAAGCATTTGATGTGAATATCTGTAAAAGTCTGATTTGGGGTCTTTTCCAGATTAATCTAAATGTACACGTTAAAGATGACTTGTAGTTGTAGTTGCAATCACACTAGGAACTACTGAAGTCAGAAAAGAGGAGCAGTTTTATTCACAGGGTGAACAGCCCCAGCTTAGCTGAAGCTCACAAGTTACGAAAAGCATTAGCTGTAGCCCCAAAGCCTAACGTCCAGAGCACCACCTGCTCTGGTCACCTAGTCCTTGTCACAATGAGTAGAGGGAACAAATGGCAGTACAGATGGACTGATTTGTTCTGTTTTAATATAAAATTTATCCTTATGGAATTATCGGTTTTATCAATTCCATAATCCTGTAAACTCTAAGATTACATATAAAGATTTTCTGAATGATACTGTATGTCCAGGACCATTAAGTGAACTCGGAAGCACTGAAAAGGTGCATTTACCCACCTGACAACTTTGATAATGTGACAGTAGTTACCATCATATTTTTAGTATTCCTTTTACAGAGTCAATCAAAATCTCTGATGCAGGCTAGAAAACTATTTATTGTTTTAACCACAAAAGAGAGCCTTAGATGACTAGCTTGCTCATATCAATACTATATTTTAACATTTATTTGCATCTTTACTGGGGCACCACGGTACTTTATACAAAGAGCAAAGGTAAAACATTGATAAACTTACATACAGAATATCATTCTTACCTTAGAAAATGGGCCAGCAAACCTCCATAACCCATTAAACCCAAAACCTGCAACAAAAAATTGAATGTTACCACAAAAACACAAGTCTCATAATTGACAGAAAACAACTAGAAATCACACACGGTAGGTCACCTGGATTTATTTAAGCATGGAAAAAAAAGTATTTTGATTTGGGGATGCAAGCATGATCAACTTTCTGAAATGAGACAACTGAATGACACTATATTTTATCCAAAACATGTATAAGGCAAAAATGATGGCATTTTAATTTGCCTATGAGATACATCAGTTGTAATAAACCTAAAAAAAACCTCAGAACTGTCATGCAAGAAATCCTTGGTGATATTTTAGATGGAAAATTCAGCATATGAACACACATCTCATTTCAAAAATTCTGTCAATGTTTACAAGTCTCTCTGAACTATCATCTGTTTCTTATGGATGTTCCCAGAAAGTCTTTGGTTAACAGGTTTTAAGTGTTATTTGAAATTGGAGCCTGGGCACTCTAAAAAAAAAAGTTACCCTGCGGAATTTACGAATAACACCAGATAATTAAATCAACCCCTAAATTACAAGCCTAACTTAAAGCTTCATTTATCACCACCATTCGTGTTTTGTACTTCCCTTAACTTGATTAGTGGAAACAGAACGCTGAATTTCAACTTCTTTTCTACTGTTTACTCATGTGGATGATGTTATACTTCAATTTTTGATGTGCAGCTGCAGCAGGAGTCTTAACATTCATGTTAATAGCTGCTTAATATATGAATACTTTTCATTACTAGGATTTATAAAATCAGAGAGATTCCACATAACAAAGCGATTATTTTGTTAAGGCAGCAATAATTCTGACACTTTTTTATTAGTAAATCTAACATGGAATACAGCAGCTTAAAAAAAAGGAAGGTATTTACTTTGTAGATAAGAAGTTTGGTATTGGGGTGGAGACTCTTCATGGTAGACAACACTCTGAACAATCCCATGAATTGGATTCAACAAATTTGGATCCTGGCACAGTGATAAAAGGGTATTGATCTTGGAATCCAATAAATTATGCCTAAAAAAAAGGAGCAGTGGTTTATTTGTGTTCATTAAATTAAACAAAGCTGTAGTTCACACCTGACTTTAACGAACTGCTATTAAGGTGGGATTTTCAAAAGCTCCCTGTAATTTTAGGAGCAGAATACAATTCAGTAAGGACTCTTAAGACAGCAAAGAACTGTAAGAACATAACCCATGAAAGCATTCTCTTTACCTAGCGCTGTAAGTCGCAAATATTTTAGTTATTTTCAACTGAAAAATTATCACTAGATACTTGCACATTTAAAGCTGGAATTTCAAAGCAGCTTCATAAACTTGGGGTGTACTTGAACTCATTTGAAAAAACACACCTTTAAACATACTATATTACTAGAATATGTAATTCCCATAACATTTGATAGTCAGTCTAAATATACACAGAAAGGACAGAACAACATATGGTAACTGCACTCCATGATTCAGCTGCAAAAAAGCATGGGTGGTATTGGGTAGTATTAATACAGGCAGTTCAAGTATCCTCTGAGACCTCATGAGCTTGGAAGAATTCCCATAACGGGCAAGAGCAGTCTAGTCAAGGCTTCCTAATATACTTTTTGAATACAAACCCCAGCTACCTAAAATCGTGATTTCAATGACTCACAGAACTTGTCTGAACTTTGAGTATTATTTTATAAAGCCAGAAAAAGCTGGTACTCTTTCTAAATCAGGCATAGGTCAGCTTAAAAAATCTATTCAAATTAACATCTGATAGCTGGCGCTTTACTGACATGCACCAACTACATTGCAAATACTGCTTTTAACTGATACCTAAAGAAATACATTCATAGACTATCCTGAACTGCACTTTAAATCAGTTTTCATATTCATCTGCAGTACTATTAAAAAAAACAGGTCTGACTGGGGAGAAAGGCTATATTGGCTTGTGTAGAAACTATATGGACACATTAAAATGTAATTTGTTTCTCTGCAGTCCCAAATAACTGCTAATGCCATGCTAAATTGCTAGACTAGACTAACGGCAGCAACGACAATGAAAGGTTTAGGAAGAAATCGATGGCTGAGGACAGGCACCCTAGCAACAGCAGTACAGAGTTCTCCCACACTCTGCCAACCTGCCTAAAAATCTGACATTGAAGAGTACTTTGGAGTACCATCTGTAGCAGTGATATCTGAGGATGCTTGTTCTACTAAGAACATTAAATTCATTTAACATAGGGAAAAGGATAATTCTCAAATTGCTACAGATATTTATCTCTACAAGCCAAGGATAGATTTCAGCTACTAACCAACAAATTAATAATTACCTAGTACAATTTTATTCAGCTGCAGAGATCTTTTTAAGCAAGGACCAAGTACAGAATCATCACATAAAAAGAGTTTTAGATACTTACACAACAGGAAAGACCTTTGGGAAGACAACACTGGCTTCTGCTAAATACTCGTAAAGAATTCGCTGGTCAAATTCATCAGTAGTGTACTTCACTAACGTTGCCTGTTACAATGCAAAGGACGAGATCAGCATGCTTCTAATTGAATTTGAGAAGTTACAGGGGTTTTTTTGTTTGTTTTTTGTGTGTTTTCTTGCTGTTTTTGTTGTTGTAGTTTAAGGTTTTACGATCTCCAGACTGCAGAAAAGCAGCACTATGAAAGATTATGTCGTGTTTGGACATGGAGTCAGAGTATTTTATGTGTAGGTGAGAAACAAAAATAGTTGGTGACAGTTTTTATTTTAGCAAATATTTTGTGCAACTGAGTCTTGAATTATTTCAGGAATGGGAACTATTGGTATAACTTAAGAAAGCACTATCATACGGGAAGCTTTATTACCAGTAGCTAAACTTTAAACTGAATTATGCTGGAATTCCAACAATTTTCATTTCTTAACTTTTTAAATACCATATATAACATCCTCTTATTATATAAAATTAGTTTCTGTTATCTCTCCCCCAGGAAAAGGGGACAACTGTAGGACATGTTCCACAGAAAAATACAGAATAATAAAAGTTCAGTATTTGCTCTTACAGATTTTGTGATTCATCCCTAAAAGTGATTCCTAGAAAGTTTGAAGAATGGCAAGAGAAGAATACCATTGCACATCACATACTGATTCTGATCCATGTGAATTTAGATATACTGTAAAGAACGCGTGCTTCTTTTGAAGATAAAAGATCATCAGAAAATAATGCATTATAATATGCAGAAAGTAGGCTTACAAGAACTGTAAGCAGGAGTGCTTGAATTTTTGGGTCAGTCAGAACTTCTTCATCTAGGAGGACATTTGATTCAGAAACAGAAACTTTTCGTAGATGTGGGTGTTGCTGCGGTGATATTCTCTGGGTTTCTGCCAGATAGAAAAAGAACAACTCATCCAAAGTGCAATAAACCAAAACCAAAATAGAATTAGTTCTTGCACAACAACTTCAGTCATACATAAGCTTCAGAGTTCACCAGTCTTTTCATAAAGTGTAAAAGCAACAATGATGCTGTAATACTAGTAGTGCTAGATTGTCACATGGGATGTATTATTAGATGGTAAGCAATAACCCCAATTTCCCATTCAGTGAAATACAGGCCCAGGGGTGATAATTAACATGTTCAGGGTCAGGCAGCAGACCAATATCAGATACACCAGAACCCCCTGGTCTTGCATTGCAATTGGGGGTGGGGGCACAGGAAGCAGATGGGGGAGAAGATGAAGAGAGGCATTCTAGGCGTTAGGTCATATTGCATCTCGTGCAAAAATCTGCACATAGGGCTTAGTCACTTATAGAAAGCCAAATTTCATTTCTTTCATTTCACTCCTGTTTGCTGTAATTTATAGCTGCCCCTTATTCTGGATCTGCAAACTGAGCAAACTCCAATTCAAATCTCAATTGCCAGTGATACAGAAGACTGCACTCTCCAGATGCCGTTAAGAAAGATACTTATCCCTTACCTCGTAGTAACCCAGGCAAATAAACATTGAATTTAGAAATAATCCTTTGTATATATATATACAAGGCATTTATGATCAGCATTATTCTTAAAATGTGAGTCCTGTTTCTCACCCATTTCATAATCATTTTCGGCTACTCTCCTCATTTTGGGGGGCGTTGTGATTCCAGATTCCATGTCTTGCCTTTTAGGAGCCTTTGTGTCCGATATCAAATGGTCAAAACTTTTCCTTGTACCTAAAAACAATTTATCAGGAAATTAAAAAACATTGAAGCTAAATCCATACTGTAAGTGTTTCTGATTTGCAGGATGTGTATTTTTCTGGCTAAGTTATCTACAACATATTGATAGGAATCTGGGGACATTTTCACCATTCTCAGTGGTGGTAGAGAAAATACAGTCACACCATGCCGCTCTCCATCGCAGTTTCCAAAATGCTTCACAATACATATGAGTATAGCATGCAATTTATTCAAATATGTAAGCTATGGGCATGCTATGGTTTCCTCGGTAAACACGTTACATTGAATAAACATGCCAAAATGCGATTACTGAAAAGGAAGCAGTAATAGGATTGTGATGAGAGAAGTGCCTCCGTTCTTCCATATATAACATACAGTGTAAAAGTGTAACCATAAGTTATGTTAAACAAGTCATCTTGTCTCTCCAATATTAAGATTTTGCTTGCAACCCTGATGCATTGAGAAGCCATGAATAAAAATTAGATTGCTTCCAAAACTTCTAAAATGTTTTGGAACCATCTCTTCTAACATAAGCTAAGGTATTCAACTTACTGGCTTTGCTGTAAGAGGGCTGCTGGCAAAGAATTAGTACTGTGACTCTTTAACATCTGGAATATCTTTTTTTTTTTTTTGTCACTTCAACATGTGCATTTTGAGTGTCATGCTCCTCCCCTTTCTCTGATCAAAAGAACTGAATTTGCTCTTTAATTGTACTGTGTTCTGTAATTTGTATTTTATAGAAACTGCATACATTCCTTTGAATTAGGAGTAGGCACTTAAAGTCAGAACAAATATAAGAATTATTTTTCTCCAGTAACACTTCCTGGGATTTTCTGTAGACAAGTTAGCAAATTAGGTATCTTAACAACCTAGAAGCTTTTTAGTGTTGGCTTGTGAAGGCTGCCCCATATCCAAACTCATGGATTTTCGTGTTCGAGGGCTTATCTGTCCCACTGTCGGGTAACTGGCAGCCAGATGTCTTTCTGACCCCTTTGGTGATGACCATGGTTGATTTTCCTTTAGTGTCCTGAAAGGGCAGAGAAATTAAATTGAGAAAACCCTTAAAACTGTGCAAATTTAGGCATAAATTTTTCAACTAATCAAAGTATCCTTTATTAAAAATATCTTTCCTAACAGAATATTCTCTCAGAAATACATATTAGGAAAGAGCAACTACTTTGCTTACAAAAATGTTCAAGCAGGTGAAAACTAACAATCCGATATAAACGAAATGCAAAAGAGAACTCAAACAACGAAACAGAACAGATGCAAATCAATCTATGAGGCAAGATGAACAACATTTAATTACCAGCTACTCCATACTGGATGCAAAAAAAATAGACTAATGAGAAAATCAGGCTCTCCGTGTCACTTACAGGTTGATTCCCTAGCTTATCTCTGTGGCTGTTTATAGATAGGCTATCAGATGTCAATATTTTCTAATGAAAGGCAATAAGTGATTACTTAGTATTGGCCTTGAGGCCCTTAAAAGGGCAAAGAGAATTTGGGTTTTAACATATAGATGAAAAATAGGGTGAAAAAGTCTTGTGGAAAGAGGTCAGCAAAAAGCTTAAGAACCATCAGACCAGTTAAGCTCTGAAATAGCTTTATGGATCTCAAAATGAAGTCTACAGGAATTGGCTACCCAAATTTCCCTGTGACTCTTGAGCACAGTATAAGTAGCATATTGGTTTGGAGCACTAACATGCAGCTGTATGTTAATTTATGGTTATGAACATGGGTTCTAGTTTTCAACATACCACAGGTTACCTTTAGATAACTTAAAGGAAACAGACATTAAAATTTGGATAACTTATCTAAAAGTGAAATAACTGACCTATAGCTAGTGTCACTGTGATGTATGGGATATGTATCCATAGGAACATTTTCCATTGAAACATCTGTCAACAAGAGAGACTTCCTATGCTTTAGGCTGCAGCGACTTCGAACTTCCTCAGATACTGTCAGCAAAGCTAAAAATTCAAAGAAAGCTAACATAAGTTTTCCAAGACAGAAACACAGTGAAGAATGCAAACAATACTCCATCAATTGGAATTTTTTGCTTAATACAAAAGTCTCTTGAAATGTAACCATAGCTTACTGAAACGTATATATTAAAAACAGGTGATTAAAAAAAAAGTTTTATTTCCCAACCAGTTAGAATTACTGGTTTAAACATTCTCCCTCATATGGTCAAAATTTCCTATTTCTAGACAACTAGAAATTTGAATGCTTTAAGGCACACACTTAAGTATTTAATCCAAAAAACCCTCAGCCTCCCTGAAGTATTTTCAAAGTTGCACGGTAGCTCATGTGCTGAGCTCACTCAGCTGGTAAGCCTTCAGTACGCAATGAGCTTCTGCTGATGCACCCCAGCCTAACCCAGGCTCTTGTTTGTCTTCAATACAAGTGACGTTGATGTACAACGCTGGTAAAATTTTATCAGCCTAAAACCACAAATGATTCCCACAATACCCCATTCCTTTTCAGTTAGCACAAGTTTAAATGTATGTTGCTTTTTTTTTTTTTTTTTTTTTTTTAAATTTTACCTGCTAGGTAAGCCACACTTTGGGTGTTCACCTCAAACTTGTCACAATTCCTATGTTTGTTAACCAGGGCTAGTAGTGTATGTAAAATCCTTACAGTTCTTGCTACAGTAGTAGGAGAAGGATGCCTGTACCCTAAGAAATGAGGTTAAGAAACCAAATACTGTGTTTAATTTTGGAATGAATATTTATGAAGCATTAATATTTTTAAAATACTTAAAATATTTTTCAGTATGTTCTCAGGAAACTTTATAGAGAGGGCATGCAAGCAACACTAATAGAAACTGCACATTCAAGAAAATATTTTTTATGTCCCTCCTCCAAAAATCACATCATTTCAAATGTCTGTGCTTATATCTATTTTCTCACAAATCAATCTCCTATAATAAACAGAAAGCCTGAATACAGTCAAACACATGGAGAAAGAAAGCATTCTTAAAGAAGGAAGTGAAGAACAGCAGCAAATGCAGTCACGCATCCCATGACAGTTCAGCTGCACTAAAAACCTTGGTAGGACTTTTATAAAGGGACTGTGGCAAAGTCCTTTAGTCAAAGGACGTTTAATCTTGTATCTACTCTGCAATCCAAGCAGCTGGAATAAATTTCTTAAAATCAACCACATAATTTTTCCTTCCTTTATCCTTGGGCTTGTTTTTGTTTCTGAATTAAGAGTGTGACATGTAAAATGAAAAGAAAAACGTGCTCTTACCTTTCAGAAGGTGTCCCACTAGCGCAAAATTAAAGTTGGAGTTGAAATTTAGCCCAACAAAGTGATCCATCTGCTTACAGTGCCATTCCAGTGGTCTCCTGATCTCCATAAACACCTCTTCTGGGCTCTGACCCAGGCAAAATAAAATATAAGAGTATCTCATTGAAAGTTAGTTATACCTCAAATTTTTGAAAAGTGACAAAATATAATAATTTTAAGAGTTTACCTGAAAAAAACAAATACAGTCTTGACTAGAACATACCTATATATTTATGTTCTAGTTTGGAACAAATACCACAAGCTTCATCTCTACATTGCGGTTTTACTTTTGATGTTACTCAAATGAGACTTATTTGCAATGCAATTTCCAGTTTTAGTTGTGTAACTAGTGATCATGAGGACAAAGAATGTTCTTCCCTTTTAACAGATCTAATTACTTACATAAGCTAAGGTTTAATCACAGCTGATTACTAACAGAGGACTTGTTTACCTTATCATTGAATACCCGAAGGCTATCCAAGGTATGCAAATTCTGTTCAAGTAGCGCTGTACCTGCTGAATACAGGTTTACTTCGTCTAGCTGAAGTACTGCCATAGCTACCCAAAAGAGGGCCTTGTGCATAGGAGAGTCCTAGAAAGCAAAAGAAAATATCATGATTTCATTTTCATGTCAGCTCCTATAACTGAAAGAGAAATAGTACACTAATACATGGTTTTGTATATGCCATACGTTACTATCCTTCTTGTAACAAGTTCTCTCCTCAAATACATCCAACCTGAGAACAAAATGAATGTTCCTATGAACCTGTAGTCTTGATGCACTTCACAAGTGAAAGTTCAAAGTAAATCAATTTCTTTTTTTTTTAAACCATTGCTTCTCTCTTATACCCCTTCCCTGGCTCACAAATACATCAGATGCATATTGCACTGCGCCAGACTGAACAATAATGCCTCTTTCATTACCAATTTGAGCACACATGAAAATAGATTGCAATTCTGCATATATAGCTCGCTGGCAATTTCATCTCTAAATCTGAAAATGTATGCAGAAAGAGCTGGCATTCAACAAATCCTGGACCCTTTCTTTACTAACAGTAGATGCATAACGCTCTTCATTGTAACACTCCCTACAAAACACTATATACGGAAATAATGTGCGATACTAACAGTGGAAGACCAGGATGGCTTGTAAAGGACAATTAAGTCAGCCAGCTGCATTTCCAGGGTAAGCTCATGGTATACTAATAGGAGGGAAAGAAAGCATCAGAAGTTCAAGCAGCATATCACAGCTGTTACCACTGGGACTCACTGTTAGTTTTAAAATGCTACAATGCTATCCAGATGGCTCAGACAGCACTGTCTATGCAAAGTTATCAAGGAAAGGACAAAACAGAGTGAAATCAAGAAGATTAACAAACTGTGCTTAAATTTCTTGGCTATGTGAATAAAAGCCAAACAGGCATATTAAACAAGCCTTTCAAATGCCCTTGCCAGGAATACCAAAGTTACTTTCTTTTTTGAGCACATTTGAAAATACAGTAACAAATGGGAAGCTGCCGACTCAACCGTGCTCTCTAAAAATCCCTTTCAAGAACTTGGCCCTTCTTTTAAACGTACTGGGTCCTTTTAGCTGTGTGTGACAATACAATTCCACAAGGAAATTCCAAGCTGTTTCATAATGGTGTGCCTACTGGTATGCTGCTATGCTTCAAGTTAAGCACTTGAAAGTAATATACAGATGGCTAAATTATTTTCAAATCAGATGAGACTAACATTTATTACAAGCCATGATCCGAAAGGCATATATTAGCAGTCATACATTTGAAAGCCACGACCAAAGAGTTTTGGGGAGGAATGAAGGCAGACTGTGGTATGGTCTTTGCCTACGTGGCTACTGCCCAGTTTGACGAAGCAGAACGGTACGTTCTAAAGCATTTTTAAAGCTTTTGCAGAAGTCTCACATTCAAGCTTCTATGACATATTTCCCATACGTAGGACTTTAGAGCATGAGTCGTGGCAGTGAAGTGTGAACTTTGGATACCACATCACTAATTTATATTTTTTGAGGTGACACCCATAATTATAATTTTAATTTATAAAAATTGTTCCCTGTTTACTCTAAAGAACAGTTGTTTACCTTATTAAGAAGAGGCTGCAGCTTGGTGAGTGCTATAACCGTAGCTTCTATTAGAACTTGGCTGTTGTAATTATCAGGGCCTTTTAAACAGCTCTCAAGTCCCTTTTTGTAGAAAAAGTAATAATAAGAAATAGAATCCATAATTAGATTTTGCTTTGTAAAAAGAACATCAAAGTTCTAAACAGTAAGTGTAGCTCTCAATTAGTTTACAAGGCCTGAACTCATTTTAAATGCATTCTCAAGGAGTTTTACCAATTAAGATACAGAGAGAAGTGATATGTGTACTGTTGAAAATAATTGCACAATGTATATTAAAAAAGTGAGGGGTGAGGGTGCAGGACAGGATGTAAGTAGCAGAGAATAGCTCTCCTACAATTTAGACACTATTCAATTAAATTTTCTGTCTATAAAACTCAAATGAAATACTTAAAGGAAACATCTTTAGCACACTGTTCACCTGCTATGTAAGATAACCTTCTTGGTCTGCTCTTTATTGCATTTATTTTTAACGCATTACATTATGAACTTCCTTAAAAAGGAAGCTGTAAACAATGCAGATGCAGCTAAGTGTCTTAACACTTCTCATTTACTCAAATGCTGACTTTTCTGGATCAATCTTAGTGTCTCAAATTTTAAGCTCAACGTTGACAAATACTACTTTTATTCTAGAAGCAGCAGCACTGATGAAACTTACTGCCGCCAAATTGATTTAAAGTAAAAAGCTAGGGCTCCAAAAACTAAATTTCCTATTAGGTAGCTTTGTGTAAGAATACATGGGAAGAACGTACTTGTCCTCAAATTATTCCGAGTTCTACATTTCATGGTAAGATAAACATTTTTAGTTATTTTATGAGTCACAAAGGAAAACAGACATAGACCCATATACCTTGCTAAGAATTCGGATTATTTGTTTTATTTGTCCATGAGACACACGTTTACTTATACAGCCAAAGACAACAAGTGCTCTTGGCTGCAGGGATGGATTATATTGGAATGCAAACCTGTGAAGAAACAAAGTACACTATATTAAACAAACACACAACAAACAGGCTGTATAATAAAAAGGTGAGAATTGTAAGCGTGCTGCACAGGCAGGTAGGGTTTACGTTTTGTGATCTACAACGTACTTTTGAGCTAGCTCAGTCCACTGGTCCAGCCACTTGCACGTTGGAATATCTCTCATACAAGCCTAAGAAGAATTACATTGTTAGAATACACGCAACATTAAGACAAAGTATTTTTTAAATTTAGAACGTGCAGTTATTTTAGCTCTCCTAAGTCAGTTGCTTAAATATTTATTACCACATCACGGGAGGTACATCTCACACTTTCATGCAGGCAAACAGCATAGTAAGTAATGCCATTCAACCCTACGGAAAATTTCCTTTGTTTTGAACTACATACCTCCATGATCTCCAACAAAGCTTCAGTAACTGTTTCCAGCGAAGTCAGTGCGAAAGTCTCCCTTTCGTAGGAACCGGGTGAAAATGACCTATCTCGGTAGCTGGATCGGAAGGCAATGACTGCTGCTGATTTCACTTTGCTGATTCCAAACAGCAAATAAAATTTGGGCAGAGAGAACTCGGTCAAACTCAGCCTTAACACTTGCTTGGTCTCCTCTGTTGGATACATTTTTTTTTTTACATATTAGAATTAACGCACTGAAATTCAATTCACATTTAAACACCGCTAAGCTCACCCTCCCATGAAAACAAAAGGAGATAATCATCCTATATATCATTTTGTGCATTCCAGTACTGTTTTCTTTGCTACTTGTCTCCACACGTGCCACAAGAACCGTGGGCTACTGCACAGACTGCTGCACCTGCAGGCACCAGGAATGTGCATTGCTAAAACAGGTAGAAAGGAATTTGATTAAAGAGGTGGTTCTATGAGGTTTCTCCTCAAATTGGTTCCCAAAATGGAAACCTGGAGAGTTCCTGGCTTGAAACACCAACAGTACTGGGAGCTCAAACTGCAATCAAATTCTGTTTTTGGCTCTGTCACTAAAGTGAAGAAAGCCATTTAAATCAGAGGAAAATACAGAGCTGAGCACTTGGGAAAATGTAGGTCCTGCTACTAGCGCTGAATATTTTTACAAATCTGAACCTTCATTTCATTTCAGTGTACTTCAAATTCATTGTTTAAATAGGAAGGCTTGCCTTTCTCTCTGGGGCTCATGGCAAAGCTTGTTTATTTTTTATTTTTTTAAATAGTGAGTGAGAGAGTGAGTGTGTGTGTGTTTCTCTTTAGTCACATGCAGATGCTCTCTCGTTCTCTCTCTCTCTCTCTAAAATGAGCCTTCAGATATTAAAAAAACAAAATTACATAAACATTTAAATATTTCTGCACAAAATCTAGCCTGGTTTTACACTGTACTTCTGTGATAACAAACGACAGCTATATATTCACTAATATAGGCGTTTCAATTTTAATTATTTTACAACCGCTAAAATACAGCAATATGCAAAATACCTGCTTTAACAGTATAGTTTCACAACTGCCTTATGTAAGTGATATTTTTGTTATCACATTATGCAACCATTCAAAAGAGGTACATCAGCCAGTTTTAGCACAACTATTTTCTCCTTTATCTGCATTACAGATACTCATTGATACTTCCTCCTTCCCTTTTTCAGAAACCAGTTATATAAACAATTTTAATTATGCACCTGCTCTTAACCAGATAGTCATATTTTAACTCCATGCTATCTATTCTATTCATCTATTCTAGCTTATATTCTCATTCTGGTGCAAGCTGAATAGCAACACGGTATTTTCAAACTTTCAAAAAGATTTCCTAACATCACTGAAAATTAATCTTCACCACTCACAGAATGCTTCTAGGTAATTGCTAAGGCTTACTAAACCTCTCCCTTCGTTTCAGTTACTCATCTCAGCAGCTGTTTTATCGTTTTATATGCTGCAAAGCAATAGGTTATTCCAGAACTGTTACGGTAAAGGGTAAATATTTCAACTCATTTATATTTTTTAACTTTTGGTAATCACAGGCACACAGGTTGCCATCAACATTTTTCCACCAAGCTAAAAATCAATCCCAAAGCAACTCTGGCCTTGTCTATCCTAGTCTACATTAGGATTTTTTATCTTCAGTGTCAACCTGAAAAGATATCTTAGTCCCATTAGTGGTGCGATATACAATGACTTCATGAAAGTGAGGAAAAGACACCTCAAATATTTCTTAAAACAAACTAAAGCAGCAATCATCTTAATGTAATATCTGACAAAAACTTACCACTAAAGTGAAGCTGTGAACAAGTGCACAGAGAATGGATGATGTTGATAACCAGACCATGAGTGGAAGCTCTGAGAGAAAGGGGACCAGTAGCCACCAATAAAGTGACCACATGGAAGAGGTAGGGGAGATGTGCCGCCACATCCAGAGAATTGTTAAAGGAGAGCATCAGCATGTAACGTGCTAGAATAGCAATATCATCCCACATTAGGTGCTGCTCTAACGTAGGAGTTGGAGACAAACAGGTCTTGTCGATTATTTTACACATCCTTCCAATTACCTGAAAGAGAGCAACCATTTATTTTAATCAAATGAAGAGCAGAGCTAAAAACTTCAGTCAAAAGCCATTATAATTTAACACTGGAATTATTCTGTTGCTAGGAACACATTTTATAACGCTTGTTGCATTATTGCCTGTACTTAGTTATCAGAAAGCAGTGACACGTTATCATCTCAGGTAAAATTACTATATAGGGGAAATTAAGCCAAAGAGGCACTCACTTTGCTCGAAACCAATTTCACATTTCCAGAAGCAAGAGCTACAGCTGTGTCTGCCATAACCTCAGCTTTTATGGATCCTAACCCTCCTGTGGCACTAGTTTTGATGAAACTGTCCAGCACTACATCAAGCAGATCTGTTATCTGTTAGAGAAAAAAATTGTTAATAACAGTTACACTAACTTCATTTTTCTGCAGTAATCAGCTTTTTGAATAAGCAATCATTCATTTTTAGCTGCAGATATATAACTAGCATAAACTAAAGCATGTTATAATGATTTGTTATCCTTTTGGGAAAAAAAAAAGTCTAGTTTAAATAGTAGAAGCATAAAGATTAATTCTATCAGAATTTACTCCAAATTGAAATGCATGCTTCACAACTGTGGAGAAGCTGAAATTTGGGTTGTATTATTTCTATTTTATTTTCCATTTTAAATTGGAACTATTCATAAAGTACCGGTCCTAATAACAAGAAACTGAATTTGAAGGGGGAACCCCAACCCCATACTTCCAAGAAATAACAAGATCTTATCAATCAATATTTTGCTTAGAGGACTAGCCATGCATGAGTACAGCTACCAATAAACATGTTCCTTATCAGGTACAAAAAACCCCACATATTTAATATATGCAGTTAAGAATCAAAGCTGAGTAAGTACACAGAGAACTATCTGAATGTGATATGTGGGCTAAGATTAGTTCTATTTCAGTACAATTCAAATTCAGCTTTCATTTCATTGTTATGTGCATAAACTTGGTTGAAATTCTGGGTCAACTAAGCCAATGATAAAATTCCCACCAACTTCTGTGGAATATTTCATCCTCTACTTTCATGTTCTCCACATTTAACTGTTAATATACTTTCATACTGGATATGGCAATCAAATTGCTCTCAGCATCATTCAAGTTTGCAAAATTCATTGATTTATTAGTCTAAGTGGACCAAGCAAAAAAATGAGCTCATGCATTCATTTGAGAATATCCCCACATTCTCCAAAAGTAATTTTGCAATGCTGGGCTGTATCAGTTTAGAGAACATGATAGGGGGGGAAAAAAAAAAAGGTATGATAACAAAGTTGATAAGAAGCTTGTGAGCAAGCATGGTCATAGCAAGTAAAGCAGGTCTCATTTCTCTGGAAATTTCCTTCATGAATTGCAGCTTTATTTTCTTTTCTTTGGGAGCAGAATGGATAGAAATTGGTAAAAGTGTTAATTTTAAGTTAATGATCAGCAGGACAAGGCTTGACATTCTATTAATTTTATCCAAATGTTTCTGTTTTAAAAGTTCAAACAGCAAAACAGAAGAAAAGTTCTTTCATGCCATAAACCTAACATACCTCTGAATGCACAAGTACTTTGTTCTTTCGATTCAATACCCATGCATTCAGGGGTCTTGATGAAATATTTATGACTAATATCAAAGACTTTCAATGTTCAAGTCTCAGTAGGGGCCAGAAACATGTTCCTAAAAGCCAGAGTTGAGTAATTAATCATTTTATAAAGTATTTTATAGAAAAGAAACTTACACTCTTCTCTCCACACCACTAATATACTTTGGTCCTGTCAAGATCCATTTTATTTTTAAGTGATTAAAAACACTATAATTTGCTGCTGGCAAATAAATTGCAATAAATTATGGAGAATCTGTACCTGTCCAAGACTTCCCCATATCTTAGCTTGAATGGAAGGATACATCTGCTTTTCATTTATAGTCATTGTTATAAGCTTATCAAGGATAGCAGTGACTCGCTGGCGCTTGGCATCATCATTGTGTTTACAGAATCGGACTAGATTTGATAACCAGGGAGTCATGTACTCCAGACAAAGATGTTTCAGTTCAATACCTGAAATAAAAATTCACTTTGTAACACAAAACCAGCACTGGTTTCTATTTATATGCAAATAATTATTTGCAAGCACTTTTCATTTCAATTTCATTGTCTAAAATAATTACTATCTAAAAATGGGTGAATGCAAGTTGGTGGAACACCTGATCAAATACCACTGGGCAATCAGACAAGCTTCAGAAGGAACGTACTCTAATAATGACATCCAAGAAACTTCTGTAGGAATCCAGAAAGGAGACTTGACATTTTAATATCCTATTAAGAGGTGAGAGGTAAAGATGTGTAAACTCAGTATTAGACAGGACTTAAGATATTTTTCTTTTTTTTATTTTTCTTTTTTTTCCCCCTTTTCTTTTCTTTTTTCTTTTTTAAACTCTTGAGAATGTATTCTATACCGCTTTCTACACTAAAGTTGAGGTTGTTTTATGCCTGGAAAACAGGACAACTAAAATAATGCAACAGAACCAGGTTTACAATTAAAAGAGACAGAAATAATCTGAAAGGATTAATATCAGTGTGACTGAAAAGTCTTGCAGCTCTCATGTATGCATCTTCTAGAGTCCAAAACTGTCACTATAACGGACAGACTGAGTATTGTTCTGCAAAATTTCTGGTGAATTAACAACCACCTGATATGGATCTATCCAAAGTACATACTGTACAAAACTATCAACTGCCATATGAAACAAATAGCTTGTATTGTGATCTCTCTGAATTAACCTACTCATTCCAAACCATTGAGATGTCTAGTGAAGCTTGTTCCAACATTCATTTTGAAATTAAAAAGACGGATTTTTTTTAAATCTAGTTCATCAGATATGAAAGGGCATATTCAAATGTGCCAGTGAAGCAATGTTTTTGCTCCAACAGGTTCCAGTCCATTTCATGATACTGCTGGGCTTCAGAGTATTATACAACTTGGTTATTAAGAAACAAATGAACAATCTTGAAAACCCATCTAAACCTGCTCTAGAAAACATTTGCAATTTAACCTTACTGTGACTCAGTAACATTAGATAGCTTAATTAACAAAGACAGACAGCTACCAACTTAACGCTTTTCAAATTCATGGTTAGCACTAAGGAATACTAGTGTTACTTACTAGATTTGCTAAATCCAGAAATACACTCTTCCAAGAACTCTAAGGTAAGGTGTGGCTCATTAGCTGCAAGAGTTTTACTAATAGACACAATAAAGAGGGTGTTGTTGGCAGGAATACACAGACCTGAAGTTTCCAGTAACTGGCCCTCAATCTTTAAATTGAAAGTACAGGTTAAGGCACACAGAAGATTATAGGCAGCAGACCTGAAACAAAGCAGACAATGCGACTTGTAATACTTTTTTCATATGTCTTAAACTATTGGCGTCACACTAAAACATCACAGCAGCGATGCCAGCATTTTAAACATCAAATCAATATTGCTATATAAGGGACTATACTTAAACCCTGAACTTTTTCCCTGCACCCATTAAGGGTCAGAGAAAACAGCATTTGCAGAGGTTACTCCTCCACTTGTTTTAAGTGATCTCTGATGAGGTTAAAGAATACGGTTGAAGGACTCTGTACTGGACTTGTCAGAGCGGCATTCAGGCTTGGGAAAGTCTAAGTATTTCTAAGTGCACCTGAGCTGCTGGGAGAGAACTAGCCAAGGGCCCCAACGCTTCCACCGAGCCAATATCCATTTTGAGATGGTCCTTTCTGACAGGAGCCTGTCCTGTTCTAGGATATACAGCTCCCAAGGTATTCAGCAAGAAGTTCAACCCTATGAAAATCAAACCTGCCTAACAACCATATGTTGCAAAGAATAAGTATTTTTCTTTATAACTAGAAATTAAACTTCCTAAATCCCTTCAGTTATTCAGACGACACGAATGTTTTTCTTTAGCTACAGAAAAGCTGATCTCTTCAGAAAAATCTTAGACTTATTAAAAAGTACGTTTTAAGTTTGTGGAGCTGTGATGAAAGAAAAAATTGTTTTGCTCAAGAGAGATTTGTTACTCTCAAGAAAAACTTGGAAAGAATTCACATTTTTGACCAAAATTGGTATTAATTTAAAAGATCTGTACCGCAAACTGGGGTCTGAACTTCCCAGGTTGAGCAGTGCTATGTTCAGTAGTGTTCCAGGAACATCCTTAGGGCGAATTTTAGTATGCTGCGGGATGGAGTCCGGTTGCGACAACTCCCACCGTGTCCGTATATGAATGATGGACCGAACAATGGCTTCACACTCCTGATGCATGAAAGTCAGTGGCGTGCCTTGGTTGGCAATGGTCAAGGTAAACTGGTTCTCATCAACAAGACATATTTCCTCAATTTCTGAGGCATAGTAAATATCGTTTAAAAATACTGTTTGTCCCAGGACTCTTGTTCGTTCTGCTGATGTCACCTGCACAGCTGTAGATCCAACCTTAAAAAGAGAACAGAAGAATGTTTCAGCACCATTGGTTAACAACACAAAGAGAGAGGAAAAAAAGTTTGACACTTCTATTTTAGAAAGTTAAACATAAGAAACCATAACAAATGTTACACTTCCTAAAGTGGACATACTAATAAGTTGGGATTTCTCCTCAAAAACCTTAGAGAGAAGAATTAAGAGACAGTAAAATCATATTCAAACCCTTATCAAAATATAACAATTCACTAGGAACAGAGTTAAAGAGACCTTACTTTAATAGAAACTTTGGTGTCTTTGTGAGCCAGTTTGAGAGCGTTGTGAAACACTTTCAAGTCCTCCTCCAAAGCCAAGGTAGCTGCTGGGAGTTTCTGCTGGTCATGTTCAATGTGCTCTGCCAATTTCCCTGGAGAGTCTATGAAAATAAGTCTTTTGCTTCCTTTTAAACCTGTCAGGAGCCTTTCATGGTATTTGGTGTATTCTCTGACCCAAGAATTGCAGTTATAAATAAAAACTGCTGAGACATTTTCATAAGCAAAGCCTGGAAAAACTACAAACCATTTAGAAAGAAAGTCTGTTTTAAAACGATTACTGGGGCCAGCGTGTGTGAGGTCCACTACAATTTCATATGGCTTTGCATAGTATGGCTTCAGAGTTAGCAGGACATGGTATATCAGTAAATCCCCATTGATCTGACCAGTCTTGAATCTGTAAGAAAAGAGGAAAGACATTGTTCACTTGTTACACCCACATCACAAATATTTGAGTGGTATGTTAAATGTACTATTATACTAAAACAGATTGATCTTTAACAAAATCCTAAAAATGCCATAAATCCAAAACAATGACATTGGACTAGCACTAAAAGCATAAAAGCATATGTTATTATTCTGTCATGGCTCATCTGTCATAGTGGGCGTTAAACTTGGTTAGAGGGCCAACTTCGATACAGATTCAATTCACGTTCATTTTGAAGTGCCATGCAAGCCACCATATAGCAATCTCCAGACAGGAGATTTATTAACAGGAGGTTTATTCAGCTTCTCAATCAAAGGCAAAAAATAAAATCCATGCTGGAGACCAACAGCGCATCAATCAAATCAAAACTGGATTACAAGAAAAGAATTAAGAGTCTCTTTAAAAATAAAAGTAAAATACTATAGCCCTTCAAACTCCAACTTAGTCACCCTTCTAGGGATTCAAGTTACATCTATTTTTATACGCGGAAAAAGCCATTTATTTCAGTAGCCTTGTCCTAACTAAGCATCCACACACAAAAAAAGTCATCTCAAAGGATCTCCTACTCATTCTATTTGCTACAGACTGCATTCCAATGCTTGGTTGAGCGTTTCTAAGAACGGCCCTCTGTGTAGGACAGAGGATGTGCCTATGAACGACCTCTCCCAGAAAAACATTCAGGTAATCTACAAAGATTAAGAACTTTTTGTTCTTATTTAATGATGCTCTGAATTTTATGAGATTGGACATAGGATGTGCCTAAACCAACCAAGTTTCCAGAGATAGCATAGCAGGTAAAATTCAACTGGGAAGAATTAATTAAAAAAAAAAAAAAACACACATTCAACAGTAGCTTGTGAACACCTAAAGTACTTCTAAACACCTATAACTGCTTCAAATGAACACCACCTTAAGTCTTTCAAGCAAACCAACAGACTATGAAAAGAGCTAATATATACTTGAAGAATACAGGTAGTTTTGATTGCAGTGGAACTCTGCTCTTGATAACCCTGGAGGAAAACCACCTGAGCACAGGATAACGAGCGAAACAAATTTCATAAATGTAGAATACTCGTCTGCCTAAGAGACCTTTTTTTTTCCTCTGTTACTTCCTGTTGCTCCGAGAGCTAATTTGGGCAAGCTGGTGTTTTTCCCCTCTAACATGTCATGGTATGGTTGTTACAAAAAGGAAGTGTGTCATCTCTGTGGTTTTAAGCTCTCCACTTAGAGTAAACGACATATAATTTCAGTTACAGATTTGTTTAAAAAAAATACCAGCATCGTCTAAGTTTATTTGCTTTACATTAATGGTCGCATCCTGACAGCAAATATATACACAAAGAAATCTTCTTGTTAAAGTAGTAAAAATCTGCAGCACCACTTTTATTTTGACTACAGCTTGACAAGGTAAGTGAACATTTTTCTTCTCCTATTTTAAGTTAAATTTCAAAAGTTTCTTAGATTTTGTAGAAAGTTATATGCAAAGGTGTTTTTACAATAGTTCAAGTAACTCAAATACACTAATCTATGACAGTAGCAATAGATAAAAATATTATCATATATTTAAGGAAGCTAACATAACATTTGTATTTTTAGTAATGTTAAAGATTTTTCACAAACAGACTCCAAAAAAAGAAGTAACAGTGACAGTCACTACTTAGCTCCGCTGCTCCTATGCACTGCTGATCTACTGCGCAGTGACAGAAGACCCTGTCAATACCTATGCACAAAGGGTTGAGCTGGGAAGAACAGCTCTTTAACGATCAGATTTTTTCCTCTGATAATTTTAAGTGAAGCCCTTAACATCATCAGTTTGTTTATTTTTAAGAAAAGCACATCTGGTGTGGAATACTACAATTAACAGTGGACTTACTGTACTCTTGGAGGGAGCAGGCAGAAACCCAGTTGCAGCTCTTGGGCAGTAACATTAGATGTTGGAGTGCATATGTACTGTACTGGCAAATGAATCTCAATTTAAAAAATTCCAGTCCATGCCATACAGAAAATTTTTGAAATGTTCCCCCCCCCCCCAAAAAAAAAAAAAGTTTGACCTTTGTTGCCTTTTGGTTTTTTTTGTTTTTTTGTTTTTTTTTCCAAGTATGCTACAAGGCTACAAGTATGCTACAACCTGCACCACATAAAGATAAAAATTCTACCTGGGCTGTAGTTGATTACCAAGACTGTTTCTAGTTCAAACTTAAAGATGAGATTCCTCTCAGAACTGAGCCTAGTTTTAACTTCATAGGTAAACTGAAAAGTAAAAGATACATATTTCTTCTGCTGTTCCTTTGTCATGTGAGCAGGCAGCCCCACATGTTTATCTTTGGTTACATATCAGGCATATCACTGGAGGATTTGCTGGAGGATTTTGGCAATATGGCCTGCCGCTCAGATTTTGCAAAGATAGGCTAGATCACCTTTCTGATTTCTGAGTGAAGTTCTTTGGTAGGCATGCTAACTTTTCACTGTGACAAAAAGCAACGTTATCTAGCATATTTCAAGATTACCTAAACTTAAAGTAATACCTTTGGAAAGAAACGTATTTGTGAAAATAGCACTTTTACTACTGGTCATTCTTTATAGTATTTATATTTGAACAAGATATAATACGTAACACTTGAAATCAACTTTTCATTCTATTAACACAGACAGGTGAAAAAGACATTTGAGGGCACAATACACCCTAAGCTCTGAAGGTGCCTCACTTGCGCAAACTTGAAGCGGCAGCTTTGGAAGTGGTTCACTACTTGCCTAATCTGTCACTATTATTTTAAAGTTATTACCTTTGCATCAGAGTGACCAAAAGATCAGTTTCCTGTCCTCCAGGCAGATTCTATGGGTAAAGATTATGGTACAAACTTGCATAATCCAACAATGGAAAATGGAACACGCTAATGCTAATACCATCGGCATAATCTCAGAAGTTTTAACAAAAACACAGCCTTTGAAGTGTATCTGTGAGAAAACTCTGTGAGAAGTACATCTGTGATATACTGCCCGCTGGCTCTATATCCTACAATAAAGCAGAATAATTAGAGGAGAAAGTTGTTGCTAGGCATTTATGAAATACTCCAGACAGCTACACTAACAATAAGAAATGTAACCAGTTAAAGTAAGCTACTGCTGTCACTTAGAGGAATATTTTGTAAATTTTACATAGGTTTCTCCCTTCACTGCGTAAAAGCAGAAGTGATGAAGTTAAAGACGCAATATGGTTAGCTTTAAAGAGAAGGAACTACAACAGTCTGCATCTACATTTACACATCACTGAGTACTTCACAGGAAACACTTTCCTGCCTCTGCTTCCCTCCATGTTCTCTTTTAATCTTCGTATATTTTCTATGAGCCTCATATTGTCAGAGGTTAGCAGTCTCAGAGATGACGTTCCAGACCACCTACTTTTTATAGCACTCCAAACAGCTGAACTCTTCCCACGTCCACTAAACATGTCCAGTTACAACACATATCTGTCCATCGAAAGAGCTGTCTACTATCCCCTGAGAAGTCTGACTCAAACCTCTAAGATCTAGAATTTACTAAACTAATGCTATAATTTATATTTTGCAGGCAACTAAACAGGAAGATGAAGACAATGAGACACAGAAAACAACATTTTGCTTTCTTTGCTGTTGTAATCTTTTCTTTCTGTTTGCATATAAGTGCAAATCATACCGATTATCCCAGGGTTATAAACGACAGCTGGAATTCTACCAGCCCAAACCCAAGTGGAAGCCTGAACACAACTGAAGCTAACACAAACTCGCCTTTAAGCACCAATTTCAACAGTAAAACAATGACTACTTTTGAAATGCAGCCAGCCGCCTCTCAGTCCTCGTCTTCAACAATGGCCCCAAATCCTCCAACATTTTCTCCTGCTAGAAGTGCCGTTTCTGCCAATGGAGGACCTAGGAATACCACCAAACTTAAGACTACTACAACAAAAGAAACCTGTGAAGACAACAAGCATCTTATACTAATTTGCTTCATTGTAATAGCAGTACTCATTCTTATTTGCACCTTCTTATTTCTGTCAACAGTCATAATAGCAAACAAGATGTCCTATCTCAAAAAAACTAAACAAGGAAAACGTATGCCCAGGAGCAACGGTGATTTTCTGGCTACTAACAGCTTATGGCCGACTGCAGCAGGAACATGGCAGAGGATGCCCAAGGAGGCAATTGGAACTGACTTGATAATGGAAGACTTGATATCAGAGAGAGATGCCATAATGCAAAGCAGAACTGAAGATGGAACTACTCAGAAACTCACTAAGAAAACAGCTAATGAACAGGAAAACAATGAACCAAAGTCACATGAAAGCATTTTAACCAATTTTGTAGTTGAGATTTAAAATCGTATTCAGGTAAAAACTCAGCTTTTACCTTTTTACCTCATTTATATGAGGCAAAAATTCAGCTTTCAAGTAACAATATGAATTGTAACACACGAAAACTAAGTTCAGATCTTACATAGGGTTTTTCGTTTTATGATAACAGGAATGTTGCAGCATCTTGTAGTTCTAGAAGGGAGTAAGATTGTTTTTGAGTAGCTTTTAGAAATAGTGTCAAGATTGGTCCTACTCCTTTGACCAGAAATTATGGTTGAAGGAGCTGAACAGGGTAAAATAACAGGACAGAAAATTGCCTATTCTCAAATATCATTAGGGGTAAAAAGGAAAGGACTGTTAGTCTAGTAGACATACCACGCCACAAAGTGCTACATAGGGGTACCCAAGGGGCTATTTTAACAGAAGCATAATGCAGTCACTCTTATTTGCTGCGGTTACTGAATCAGGAACTAGCGTGTCTCAAAATGCCCTTTCAGTTTTTTTCCTATTAAAAAGGTCTAACCAGCTTAACTGCTCTCAATCTGGTTCAAAAGCAACCATATATACTGTGCTTTGAGTCCATGCATGGATATACGTTTGTTACGATATGTTAAAACATAAGAATTCTTTCAGTTTGTTATCACCAATAAACTAACAACATAAGTTCACATAAACTTACGTTATTTAAAAACTTATTTCTCTAATTCATAATATTCCCCCCAAAATTATTATGGAAGACACACTTAAAAGATTGTATCTCTACAACACTTGCTGCAAGTCAAAAAATGTTTTCTCTGTTGATCAGAGGTGATTTCTTACATCATGGGTCCATCCATATGGAAACACACTCCACTTTATCCTAATACAATCAATTAGAACCTGCTGAAAATTTCTTCAAGAACTACCACAACTTTTAGCTACTTTATTCTGCTAGAGACTTTCCCGTATTTCCGAGATTTCTGTTTCAATACAAATAAAGGACAAAAATGTAAGGATTGCTAAAAATTTTCTTTTCCCAGAAATATAGCTATTATGCATTAAGCAACCTCTATGCAATCACAGCAAGAAGCTTGAAAATAGCTAAGCATCCCAAGCTAGGAGAAGGGCTTCTACTACCTACATGCTACAAATGGCAACCTCTGTTCCCAGACCTTGTAAGCAAAATGCCAATGTTATTAATTAAAGAGTATAGTTAAAAACACAAAACACCAGGAGTGTTCTCCCTGCTTGTAGGTGTGCTCTATCATCCATAATATCGTCCAGATAAAATTGTGTCAAAATGTCCATTTTTCTGGGGAAAAAAAAAATCAAATAAGGATAAGGGAGCAAAGGCTTGCATTGAGGAAAGTTTTCTCAAAGCTGAAAGCGAACAGAAGTACATGCAGAGAAGCATATTCCCCACCACCGTCCCATACACACAGGCTACTTCTTGGGTTAAAGAAGATCAGTTGTAGCATGGTTACAAGCGTTAAAATAGCATGATGACAAAGTTCAAATATCCTGAAATATTTTTGACACATGAAGTGGTTGTAAAAGTCTGAAAGAATAACTAAATCCCCAGTTTATCTCCCATTACCTGCCCATTCAGGTAAGCTTATGGGTGAAGTAAAGAAGCAACAGAGAAGCAAGAAGACAGTATCAGGAAAACAGAGAGGGGCAAAATCTCAAAATAAAATGCAACTGCCTAGGTCAAAGACAGTTGGCGCAGTAAAGAAGATAAAATTGGAAGAAGGTTGCAAGCCCAGGTCAGAACTGGGAGTCATTAGAAAGCAAGTTTAGCGGAGATGAAAAATAAAAACCAGATTAGGAAGGGTTTGGGATGAAATTACAGGAAGAACCCCAAGAATCTACGTAATCAGCCTATGTATTCAGAATTTCAGGCTGGAAGGGAGATGGGGCAATAGAACAGGCAGATGGGGCAGGAGACTAGGTCAGGCATTTCTAAAACATAAGCGGAAACAATAGGAGAATAACAGGGGGAAAACTGACAGATCAGCGACGCAGTCTAGTATTTGGAGACTATCACAGAACATCTTGCCTTTCCTGCAAGAAAGAGAGCTAAAGGCTGGGGGATGTTGCATCATAGTTACCTTTTTCTTCCAAAAAAAAAAAAAAAAATCGTGAGCACATCAGGCAACAGCAGAGGCAGCACAAACACTAGAAAGGAATCTGAGAGTGTAGATGGGGGAATGTGACCTGGAATAAAACTGCCCATGGCTAGGAAGACAACAGTACTCAAAAAGGAGAATGACTCTGTAAGCAGAAATAGGCAGCCTGCATACAGGAACACAAGTTGTTAGTGAGCAGCAAACAGAAGTGGTAAAAACATCGGTGTCATGAAAAAGGCAGGCAGGGAAAGAGTCATGATCATGTCAATGGAAGGAAGAAAAAAGGGGAAAGAAAAGGAAACAGTGAGAAAGGCAGCAACGGTGACAAAAGATAGGTAGAGGCTGAGAGGTCTAAAAAGAACGTGGATAAAATGAAGGACTCAAACAAGAAACTGAGTTATAATGTGAATGTGGGATCAGGATTTGTGTTTGCTGCAGGACTGGGGAGAGGCTGAAAAGGACAGAACTAATGAAGCCAGAAACATGACAATAGGTACTTGGTACTGACAGGACACACTTGCAACACGCTGTGAGAACACATTTGTGGAGGCTTCTTTTGCCAGGCAGCCCGTCTAGACAAAAATGCTTACGGAGACAAACGAAAGCAGTTAGGGATGCACTACCAAAAGGTATGGATAAAGACAGACGGCGGGAAAAGAGCTGCTCAGAGAGCACAGTCCTCCAGTAATGGTTTCAGCAGCTACCAAAGTTGCCCAAATAGAAAAATAATATGAGGCATAGGGGGCTGGCAAAGAGTGAACTCTGTAGCTATCTGCCATTTAATGTAACCAGGCAAATGAAGATGCACAAGCAAGCCAGCCAAGCATCCTGCGATCAGATAGCTTTCTGTGACTCACTGTAACAAAGCTAAGCTTGCTTTTTGCTAGTAATCCTGACAGCTCATCAAAACCATCACTGAAATTACATCTGTAAAATTCAAATCCAATCCAAACCTACATAGTTATAGCTACTTCTATGTAAATCAAAAATTATGTTCAACAAAGACAGGCAAACAGGCATTTATTAATTTCTACATGCTTGGCACATGCCAGACAAAAACCACAAACATTTAAATGTTTGAGTTTTATAAAAACAACAGCACTGAAAAGTCTGCTCTTAAAGCATGCCACCACCTCTGAGCTAAAATTCTTAGTCATCTCCCCAGTCTTGACACTTCCTGCAGCAAGCTTTGGTAAACTTCCTCCTTAGTTACAAAAACCCTACTTTAACATCAGACAAGCCATTTTAAAGCTGCTTGACTTTTAGCACACGGTCTGTCTTCCTTAGGCTTCAAATGAAAAAGGCGATACAGTGTTTGCTTATCAGAAGATAAACGTGCAGGTAAGAAGCAACTTCAGCACGGAAAGGTTTAATATTTGTATTAGTATTTGTTTTGAAATAGAACTGCATTATAAAACTTGTATACAGTGTTCTCTACGTAACTACTTTATGGTGCACTCAAAGCTCAAGCAGAATATCTGTACCGTCCATGCATTACCGAACACATTTCATTGCTAAGATGTTGCCACTGTGAACCATCATGAACTCTACACGTAAGTATTATCTGAATATATTTTGAAAGGAGGGGAACAGAAGAAAATGAAACGGAAACATTTCTACCTGTTATGAACCTAACAGTTTAGATCCTAACGTTCTCAGAAGCATTAATTTACTACTTATATGCATTTACATTGTTGCATCTGAAATTTTTAGCATATTTTTAAAACCACAAAGATTTATGTATATCAATTTTCCAGAGACAGTTTCACATAACTAGCAGTATAGTAACTAATGATTTAGCTCAAACTGCATGAAACTAGCTTCAGATAAAAAACATACTATGTAGTGGACATATTTTACATCACTTTTCTCATACTGAGATATGCAGAGACTTGGGGGAAAAAAAAATCTGTTCTGTTCCAGCAAGTTAACATGAAAAAAAAAAAATCTCTTTCATTACAAAAAAATCATTCCATGTACAGGAATTTGTTTATAAAAAGTGTAATATTAGAATGCAGTTCAACTACAGCAGCAGTAGCTGGAAACTTTTTTAAGAATTATTATGCTCTAAGCCTTAACTGCAAAAGGGAGGCGAGAACAGGAAATAAAGTTTAAAAGAACTGTAAAGACCTTTTCACCTAGGCCTCCGCTTGGCTCCCTCGTAGAGGATCTCCTCTACTCTTGTGACAACCCTTGGGCAATACTGCTGCGACAGTGCCTCGTGTTTTGTTTTAAGTGCATTACCATTTACATGACTGCTAAAAGCTCATACTTTGAATCGCTCTCAGGATTTCTCTCCTAAGGCCCGTTTCTGGTGAGGTGGGGGCAGGGGGGAAGGTGACATTCTCTCCAACAACGTCACTTAAGTAGAAGCCTTAATGATCAATAATGTTGTAGATGTACCTGATATTTGTAAAGCCGGTAGCAAATCTGATGTTAATACAAATAGTAACAGGTGTGAAGTTTTAAACAATTGAGTCTAATCTTATTTTTACTATAACAACATTAATATAAAATTGTTGGGGGGGGGGAGGATCAGTAAAGTGTAACAATAAAAATACAGTTTAGAGCTCTAACATACAAATTAATTTGTTCTCTTTTATGTCTGCTGAAGAGGAGGACGTATTTAAATAGGCTGCGAGAAAATGGTCAGCAACCAAGTAACACTGGTTCTCTTCTGTGGAGAAATCTGGAGGTCATTTTCTACAGAAATACCTCCAAATGTTTCCATCAATGAAGGAAAAGCATATGCCAGTACCAGGAGTCCAATGGGACACAAAGTTCATGTATATCAGTCACCAGCAACTGTATCCAGCTTGCACACAGCTCAAATTATACCTCAAATCCCCGAAACACCCAGAGAACCCATCGATGGAAGCTGGATTGCAGCGCTGTTAATTGGCACAATTTTGATTAATATGATATTTGCTATTACTATTATTCTTCTATGGAAATGCTGCAAAACGCCACGTCTAGTTGATTCAAACTGGGCAGGCCGTTCTCCATTTGCAGACGGAGACACGCCAGATGTCTTTGTGGAATCTGACCAGGCTACCAAACGTTCCTCGATTTTATCTATGCTGCCTTGGAAATTCAGGCAAGATATGCACTTACCAGATTATTCTTTTGCATCAGAGAAACCATCCAATTGCACTACAAACAATAAAGACAGCCAATCGTCTGCCACAGGAGAAGACCACTCAGTTTCAGTAGTGACCAGTATTTCAGTTTCCAATACAAATGCATCTCCGTCTCCCATCTCAGAAGGGGTAAGCTGTGCATGTGACTCATGTCCTCATCCAGCTCCTTCACCTGAATCCCATGACCTGCCGCCCCCACCTGACTGGCTCAGGGAACCATCTGAGAGTCACTGTCTGGGTCTCGGCGAATATCAGGAATTGCACTCAGAAACACAGGAACAATTTCCCCCACTTCCCGAGTTAGCTGTTCAAGAGAGTCATGAATCACTGCCGCAGCTGCCACTGCCAGAACATCCTCTGTAGAGTGACCAAACTGCATTCCAACGTACTTCACGTTTCTCTTAAATGGAGTATTCTTTAAATAACTCAATAAAAGAGAAGTTGATGCAGGCAAGAACTGTGAGACCACATCACAGGCAGTTCCTCAGCATTTCTTAACTTCAGCTTTCACAAAGAGAACAACTTGTTTCTGCCTGAAGCAAATGATTTCGAAATACAATATGGATGGAGCCCACCGCACCTAATGATACCTTGTGATTCCAGATTTTAGAGACTACAGAGAACAGTATAAACACCTGTGTATGTCTGTATATACATTATATATAAAATATACACGCATAGACATTGAGCTTCAAGAAGCAGAGCACAGCTTGAGAGAGGAAATCAGCTTCTAAAATTGTTTGCTCTACTAGACTCTATAACTAAATGCAATAAATTCATTTTTTTCAGAATGTCTTTCACAAGTCAATTTTAATAAAGCTTTCTAATTCAAAGAGGTATTGGTAACCTGTATACTTAAAGCACAACTGAATACTTGCTTACGTACAAAACTTAAAATTAAAAACAAAATTTGTGTGTCTTGGCACACATACATGTTGTCTATCATTCATACAAAGGTCTATTTTCTGCGTATGACTGGATAACAACTTGGCAACAATGGAGTGCAGGTGTTTAAAGCAAATCCCCATTACAGTTATCAGTTGTTTTGTATTAACAGCAATGAGATTTCCTTTATTGCCAAAAAATATATATACCATTGCCAAAATCTCCAGTCACTTCACACTATTTTTTGGTAACGCAGAGAACCGTCAAGTAAAAACATAACATAAATAGTGGACGCTCAAAAGCCGACATGGCTCCAAACACACAAAGAACAACTATAAAAAGGCTTTATATATATAAAAAAAGCTAGATACTTTGATTTTTGTGGACAAAATACAAACAATTTGTGGAACACCCAGGCACATGATTAGCTGTGCACATTTACTAATTTATTCCTCCGAAGCAGTACATTTAGAATGCACTTAATCTTATTAATATAAACTTCAAATTGATGTTGCCTGTATGCTAGATTCCTTTCAACTCAAGATGTCTGACTAAGGTTTTTACAGGTTCCTTTCTTGGCCCTGAGTATAAGTGAAGCTCAGGATTCTGCCTAAAATCGCGCATTTTGATAAAGTAACTTTTTGGGTAGTTGGAGAGTAGTTTCAGAGATCAATTAAAATCAAAATATTTTACAAGTATTTGAATGTTCGGATTCATAGGAAGAAGCTGCTAGATGCCGAGGCTAGCTTTCCATGACATCGCTGCAAAACGGCCAAGAGCTTGTAATTTTGAGCTCTTTGGGGCAGGGAATGTATTTGTGAATGGTGCACAGAGCGCTTGGTTGCACATAAAACAACAACAAACTTCAAAATCTTTAAATTACCACTGAAAATTAAAGCCATTAGGTTGTACATATGCATTGTATGCTGCTGTGCATACAACAGGCATAGGAAAAGATAGTTACAGCTGCTTCTTATCACTTATGTAAGATGCATGAAAGCGTGTCCCTGAAAAATCACATTTGTTACTTAAAGAATTTTTTAAGACTTGTTACATTACACCATGTTAAAATGAACAGCATTATAAACCATACCCACTCTTACCATATTGTGTGGAGAAATTCAGGTAAATATTTCCCACAGAAATCTGTAAAACCCTACAAACTGAGCTGTATTTTATCTGACAATACAGTGACAGCCTGATCTGAGGAGCAGAAAACTGAACATTTTTAAATTGTAAAAAGACACTCCAGCAGTGTAGATTAAGAAGGTTCAGGATAGGAAGCCTAAATTAATATTAACCATTATTACAAGAGCATGGATTAAATGAAAGTTCAAAAAGAAGATAACTTAAATGACTTTTTAAATAGGATCACTTAAAGGGAATCATAGGTTAAGCTAAAATAGTCTACAAAAATTCCACTTGACACTCTTTGCACAGGCAAACTTACATGCTATATTTTGATGCAGTAACGTATCTAAAAAGTGTTCAGAGGAGTTAACTAATTCAAATTACAAAATCCAACTATTTTATTGAATAGGCATGCCTTGCCATAAATTTGAGTCAGCACCAACGACAGCTCTGCAGTCCTTCGATGTAGTGCAGATCAGGTGGTTGCAGAGCCCCAGCTAGCAGCAATACGATGCAGCTGAAGAGGCAAGCACAATCCACAGACAGCAACTGTAGCTACTCTCTAGAACAAGACGACCTCTAAGCTTAAATCTTTCATAGAAACGATGTACTGATATTGCAGAAGAGACTACGGTAAGTTCGTTTTTGTTTTTCATCACAAAAGCCTACTACAAAATAAGAGACAGTAATAAGATCAAAATTATTAGTTAACGACAGACGCTTGCACCAGAGATTTGCTGCAGTGTCAGAGATTTCTTACTAACATTAATTCAGCTTTCAAACATGTATTACCAGTTTTGAGAATGTAATTAACACTATAATAAGAAAAAACAATGTGCATGTTGGCATGAGAATGGAATTTGGGTTTCAAAATCCTTAACAATTTAAGATGCATTTTAACCAATTCTATTTAAGCAAATAGTGTGCATGTATGGGGGGGGACTGCTACGTTACTGCAGAGATTTGTAAAGCAGATCCAGTTGACAGCCATTTTTTCATCCAGTATAAAAGAACACATTATTCCAAATATAATATAGGCTTGAAATCACTAAAAACAAGAAGCAGACATTGTATAACATTTGGAAGAGACTTGCCTTTTCGGAAGAAAGCCCTCATTTGAGCTTGAGGGGGAAAGCGAGATGAAAAAACAAGTCTCATTCTGCCAGACAACATGACAGTCTATGAAGGGATGCTTTGTAAAGTCTCTCTTGAACAATTATAAAAAGGACTATGCTACAAAGGGGTTTATTGATATTTTAACTTAATTTCTCCTGCAAGTAGTCAGTGCAAAGACAACCCTTATAAATAAATAAAATATATTATATGGATTTAAAGGGTGTCATTTTGGTATATTTATTTTCAGGCAACAATGGAACACCAGATACTGAAAACATCTACCTGTCTGCTGGCTCTTCTGTTTTTCATACCCACTGTTCTGGGTATTTGTCCTTCTAATTGTACATGCTCAGGAAACAACAGGAATGTGGACTGTTCAGGCAGAAACTTAACTATACTGCCACATGGACTTCAAGACAACATTACATATTTAAATCTGTCCTTTAACCAATTTATAGATCTTGATCATCAGCTGACTAGATTTACCAATTTGAGGACCCTGGATATTTCAAATAATTGGCTCAAGAATGTTCCTGCTCATCTACCCAAGTCATTATGGGAATTATATGCCATAAATAACAATATTAAAGTTCTTCAGAAACTTGACACAGCTTACCAGTGGAATCTTAAAGTGCTTGATGTTTCCAGGAATATGGTGGAAAGAGCTGTTCTGATCAACAACACACTGAGCAGTCTCAAGTTTCTCAATCTCAGTAGCAACAAACTTTGGACAGTTCCAACCAATATGCCCTACAACATAGAGACGGTGGATCTATCCAACAACTTCTTGTCACAGATACTTCCAGGAACGCTGCTGAGACTACAACACCTTACAAGCCTTTACCTGCACAACAACAAGTTCACATACATTCCTGACAAAGCTTTTGACCAACTCTTTCAGCTACAAGTAGTAACACTATATAACAACCCGTGGTCCTGCAGCGACAAACAAAATATCCCTTATTTGCTTAAATGGGTGCAGGGAACAGCTGCCAATGTCATAGGGGCTCCCTGTGCTAACGAGACCGTGCTTTGGATGAACGCCACACCAACTTCAGCTGCTCCCACAGTTACAGAGTCTAACCTCACGATTAAAGGAATGAAGGCAGCAGACAGAACTACTTCGCCGATGGCAACCGAACCAAGTCCAGTGACAAAAACGCATAAACAATTCAAAGCTAAGGAAGTTACTTTAACTGCTACCTTAAGCCAAACTGTACTGTTTACAAGCACAGACCGACCACTACTCCTCTATCCAGAAGATCTGACCACCAGGAAAGTGAGCTTGCATGAAGCAGCAGCCACACGTACAATCTACATTAAAGATTCGACTGAGGTGAACTCGAGCGTGGTTCGTTCGACAGAATCATCCACCACCACTCCTATGACTCTGAGCATTACCAGTGGAATGCCAACAAACTACTCTAAAATGCCTCAAAGCACAACTGCTACCTTAAGGAAAGAGGAATCCACTACAAATATTTTGAATACTCATGTGCCCTCCAAAGCACATATCTGTGAGATACATTTGTTTTATGTTATAATGCTTAATGCAGTGGTAATGTTTATTGGTTAAGGGCTTGTAGTCTTGTGAAGTTTATTCCTGTGATACATAGCTGGAGTAAAGACACCCAGGTCAATTAATGAATGAAGATACAAGAAATTCAAAGTTCTGACTCTGATCTAAAGAGAATAACAGTTCTTCAAGAAGTGCACACTAATGTCTTGATACTAAGCTGCTACTTATTTTAATATGTCTTAATTGAGTGAAACTAACCTATGATTTTGTTTTTAAAAATGTGCTTATTTTGTATTTAAATTTTTAATTTTACTTGCACAGAATAAAACATCAGAATTTTACGTACTCATTTTATGTATGGTTTTGTCATTAAACATCTGGAAAAAACAGAAGGCCTGTATCATATCTGCATCGTTTTGCTTGACTTGCCAATCAGCAATTCTTGTAATATAGTAGCACAGATCCTTTTTAAGTTATGACGACATGCAAAAGGAAGGGGGGGGGAAAAAAATTGAACCTAATTGTTTCACTAACCAGAAGTTATTCCTGGGGAAATGGCTAGCATGTATATCTATGTTTGCTTCATATGTATTAAGTACTTTAAATATGAAGAACAGTTTTAAATTTAGAAATTAAATATGATAATGCCATGATGTCTACTAGGAGGGGCTAAAAGGAGAAGACAACATGGTCTAACTTTGGCATGGCGAAAGTGATAGGGGCTGATTTCTCTTTTTGCTCTGTCTTGACTTGGAAGCTGCAGGCAAGCTATTTCTCGCTCTCCATACTTCAAAAAAAAAGATAAAAGTAGAGAAAAAACACAAGATGTTCAATGCCATGACACTCCTGGACAACAAAGAGCTTATCTACACAAATTAACGAAATGAACTGCCTTAAATCGAATATTTCAAGTTGCATACAAAAATCTGAAATAATTATTTCATTATGCTTAAAAGAATATCACAGCTTGGCAGGATTGTATTAAACTACTACTTTCTGAACAGCAGAATGAAACATCAGCCAATTTCTAATGCAAATTATGTAACATAAGTCAGTTATGTAATTGGTTGACAAGCTAACTGTAATTTAAACAATCCTTGAAGTGGCCTTGTGACTTAAAAAAAAAAAAAAATTAACATAATCCATGGCATTGAACATGCCCAAATCATTGTCTTATAAGGATGAGCATGAATGTTATTTTCCTTGATATCTGCACCATCAATGAGTAGAAATAGTTGCACGCATGGTTCTGTCCACTCTAGCACAATAATCTAAATTATGCAGCAAAGGTACTTGATATACTACAGGTAAAGTTTTGCAAACAGCATGAAATGAAAACTGAAGAAAAAGTTCACTGAAAAAACTTAAGAATTATTCACTTAGTATTACAAACCTTTATTAAATGTTTTCCATTCATTTCAGGCCATTTAATTTCCAGCTGTTGTAGCATGAAGGCGCTACAAAACCCAGAAAACCTCGCCACTGAGACTGGAGTCCTCTACCTATTTCTCCTAGGTGTTAATGAGGGCTGTCAACCATTTACAACTACTAGTATCAGAGAAATCACAACTTTCCAATTGTGAACAATATTTCTACAACCAGAAATGTATTTTAATTTCTAACAGGAAAGTAAATGTTACACAATGAATTTGTACAGTTATTTCATTGGCATTTAAGTCAAAATAAAGTTAAGTTTGTATTGAATCGAATTAGTGGTAGTGCTTCATTTCAAATATGCATGGCTACCATATACTCTTGGGGATAGGGAACATCACTGACTAGAAACTGTTTTAATATACAGACCTATCTTAAACAGGTATCTGGTTAATTTTTGTATCTTATGGGAAAAAATTATTGCATAATCAAGTTATATTATCTGGATACTCGCATCTTCTCCAATATTGTTTATTAATAAACTGATGAGATTATGGTAATATAGACCCTACTCTTCCTACCCTTTAGAACTTGCAAACACCTAAAGCATATGCCTACTCACTTCAAAAAAGACAGCTCTCTCACACTTTCTCTCAATAAAATAAAATAAAAAGTCACTTTAGGCAGACAAGTACTAGTTATCCAAGTCAAAGTTTAGACAACCTAGACCATAAGCAACATATACATGGTACCTTCACTGGCCTGTGGAAGCGCATTACAGAAAGGGGCTACCATGCTGACTGAAAAAGATGTCTAATTGCACAGACTCCATCTATTATTTTCCCAGATTAAATAATCTGACATGAACTGGTAAATTCCACCAACTAGGATCAGTACTAAAAAAATGTCACTGCCTGCTTCAGTCTCTTTGGACAGCCAGTGTATTTGCTAAGCATTAACTCATTATAAGACAGTATCAACCTACTCACCATTTTCAGAATTAGGTATTTCCTAGAATTACCTCACTCATATGATTTTATCCTACCCAGTTTACAGCAGCTTAGTTGCAAGATAAGATAGAGACCACTAAATGAGGTGCTAGGGCTAAAATACCTTGAATATATTATTATATTATGTTGAATTATATTATATTGAGGGAATTATGTGAAATACTACATGTACCTTTGCTGTACAATTCAGTACATGATGCCAAATCCTACTGGATGCAAAGAAGAGTCTTCATGGAATCACCTCTAAAATGCTTCGAGTACGCCTCCCTTACAACAAGGCTATTCAGAGAACAGTGAACGCTGTCTACAAAAAACTCTCTTTTTCAGAAGTTGTTCAGGACAAAATTGCAATTTCCCATACTGGATGATTTGCTACCTGGACTTCAAAGTCTTATGTGTGCTGATAAAAGCCTGGAAGTGGAAATGGGTTTCTGGGGTTTTTTCAAAATGCACTTACAAGATAGCATATACTCATAAGGTATACGGGAAGACATGACTGGGAGGAAACCAAAATTCACAGGCAGGTATGAAAGCAAGATGGCACTGCCTCTCAAATTCTAGGGCTACGCTCTCTATCCACAACTTGCCCAAGTTAGGTGCAAGCTAGAGGGCTTCATAGTCAGACTGCTTTCAGTAAAGCAGGTTTCCTTGTATTTAGGTTTCCTTGTATTTTTCTTGAATACCAACGAGTTGATAACAGAGTGGTGAGTAGGCAGGCAAACGTAGGAGTCATGTACTGTTCGTTGCTTGGCAACGGTGCAGTCACATTGAAATAAAACTGATAGGCATGGATGTGAACGCTACAGAATCAGTTTGTTTAAAACAAACATGCTGGTCATTGAGCCTGAGTCAACTGTTAAAGGATTTATCCTCAGAGAAATTATTTTTTCCAAAATATCTTTTTAACACTGCAGTATATATATTTATCTTTTTTTAATGGTGTTACCTTGTATGTGTTAATGGCTTACCCCAAAAAGGTATAGCATACCTTGTAATAGAAATATGTTTGCTTTTAAAAAGTTATAATTGCCATGGGGTAGTTGTGGCCTGAAGCAATAACTCAGAGGTGTGAATTCCCATGTTTTCTATTAATTTGTTTGGGACATTAGCTTTAAAACTTAACGGCAATACTTTAGGGTCAATATTTATTGACTCATTGATCATCTTTGTAAGAGAGCAGGGATTAAGGAAGAAAATTGGCTTTGAAAGTCAGGTTGTTGCCCAGGAAACAAAATGCAGAGAGAAATGACAGAAGAGATTAAATTCCATAACACAAGGAGGATATAAACTGATCCAGATACATCAGTAAAATGACTCAACGATGCCCTAGCAACTAGATCTCAAACTAAGCCTGCTGCAAGCCCTCAAACATACTGGCAGCTCCAATCTAAACAGTCTTTTCACATTGCACAGCTTAAAAAAGCACATCTGGCTTTGAATCACAGGACAAACAGCCCAAATAAGCACTACTTTGCCATGCTCCTTTTAGGAGAAAAGATCCCAGAATATCATTTCAGAAAACAGGCCAACCCGTTAAGTTTGAAAAAGTATTTCTTCTCATGGAAGAAAGTTGAAGAATTACATAATTACTGAGGATAAATTAACAACAGGGGAGGTAAAAGGAAGTAATATTTGAACTGGTAACAAGGCTTATGTCAAAGTGCAACTATATTTAGTTAAGCATCCTGTAGCTGGATAAAATTTACAGAAATCTGTCCCTTGCTCCCACTATATGGAAAGGAGGAGTGCATATCTGACTTGTACCATGGTTTAGCAGCAATTTTTCGTCTTCCTTTGAAAAATCGAGATTTGCGTTCATCCAAAATCCTTGGCGCACAGTTTATAAGGCTATTCTATTTAAGGCAGCTTCTCAAATGAAGTTGCCAGGTAACTTGGTCAATGACTAAAACTTTAGAATTTACATAGAGTTCAGTATCACAACACTAGGGAAAGTGTTTCCATCCCTGTAAGACTTCAGAACTGTATAGAACCATAAGAGATCAGAGGTGTTTTTGGAGCTCATTCTTGTTTATAGTCCTTTTCTTATTCCAAGGGTACCCCTCCACAGTGGATAGTTTGCCAACTTTTGAACCCACCAGCTAGGGGAGAAGTGGGGATGGGACATAGGGATAACAAAGCAGCATTAGAAAAAGAGCACAGCAAACTTCCACAAACGCTTGCCCCCAACTTCTCTCAGGTGGCCAGTTACAAGAAAGGATCCTTTTGTGCTGTTTAAACGATGTTCAAGCTTTTTTATTCTTTTTCAGCCACCCATTCCTTTCTGCCGAATTCAACAATTTTTAAGCGTCAGTTACTAAATAAAAGCTCACAGCTGTCCGTGCTACTTCTTCAAGGAAAACAAGTAGAAATGCAGAGTTACACAAACAATAGATATTTTAAATTTTCATAGTGACACAAAGGGAATTAAAACCATAGTAGTGACACATGTGGAATTAAAGAGTTGCTATTCTAGGAATTCTATACTGCCTGAACAGCTACTACTTAAGCCAAGAAAATTCAGAAAGATGAAATGAGCTATTTTGGACAAGTCAGAAGATGAAGAAATATTTGTCTTTATCATTTTCTTCTGAAGTTGTGTTATATTACTGTGTGATCAGCTACTAGTAAGCTGATAATTAAAAAGTATTTGGCAGTGTTTTCTATATAAAGTTCTCCCCCTTTTTCAACTCAGACATAGAAACAGAAATTTAACTTACAAATATACCTATTGTCTCAATAAGCAAATTCTACCTCTTTGTGGACAAGCTTCACAGCCAAATTCCAATATACACATCCATGACAGAGCCAGACTATGAAACTATAGTTACAGTCAATAGCTGACACAATAAACAAGTGGCATACTGCTTTATCATATTAGCTTTATTCGGGCCCATTACTGACTTGCCCAGACCTGTCAAGGTTTACTGGCAAACATCTGTGTATTCACATCCTGAGTTGGCAGCTTTGTCCAACAAACATAACATACCTAAAAACATAATCAGTATTTAATGATGCTAAATATCACATACTTTCCCAGAAAAGGAAGCAAGGAGAAAAGCTGAACAATCTGCAAATAAATGGTGCAAAGATATCGGCCATAAAAATCTAACAGTTCTCATCAGTAGCCCTTATACATAGCTAGGAAAAGTAAATTCAACTGCACTTGATTAGATATTCTGCAGTGTTAAGCCTCATAAGGAAGAGCTATTATCACTTTCATGGTCTGGCTACATGAGTTGGCTACCAGGAGCCAAATCACAGGATGAATTAAGAGTATAAGGTAATCTCCTGTTCTCTCACCCCAGGTAAACATGAAGCTCCCTTCATACCCAAGGGAGGAGACTCCTAACTTCAGTGCTTGCGGTCACAGAAGCTCCTCTGACAAAACGGGGTGCAGAGTACTAACTTACAACAAAGTTAGAAAGGTAGGTCAATTTTCTCCATTTAAGAAACGCTGCTACTATCCAAAGTCTGTCAGGGAGACCACTGAATAAAAAAAATCCAACCCTAAACTTCAATACTTTCTGTGAAAAGGTGCAATTTTATTCCAGCACATTTCCATATATCCTCCCATCTGCGGTCAGTTCTTTCAGCTGACGGTATGCTTGACTCATGACAAGTAGTAAGCAGTACATATACTTTAAAGTGAATGATACTGTAGTCCATTTCAACGACAGATTATATATTTTGGTCAACATATCATCAACTTCATTCTTGGATTCGTTTATTACTCCTGGACATAAATAATCAAGACCAAAAGCGTGGTTAAACTATTCCCTAGCCTTTCTTTGGATAGCAGTGTTTGACTGTGGGAGAACTGCACGTTTCTCTAATTAAATATAAATCAAGAAATATTCATAGGTATCTTACACAGCTATTACACATTAACTTTAGGCAGTTATCTCATCTTCAGTAAACAAGGAACAATTCTAAACAACTGTTTAAGGCTTAAACTCTTTTGCCTCCTTTTTATGTATTCTGCTGCATAGAATTGGAGATATGGACCTCATAGTGCTGAAGGGACAGCGTTATTACATGTAAGACCATACTTCTCCAAATGCCCGCAAAACACGCGCTAATACTTGCTTTGCTTTTCGTCACCAATATTCTAACAGCGCACTTAAAACATTACTGCACCTTGGACTAGCTAACAGTGAAATACCAAGGTTTCAAATGCCAAAACAAAAGTAAAATAACCATTAGTATGACCAATTTACATAAACTGCTTGCAGGTCTCAGCTCCAAATATTGGAATAGCTTGTGAAATCTATATAACAACATATTTTTGCTAGGATCACTTCCACATGGACTCCTTATCAC